TCGACAAATGACTGGATCCTGTTAATTGCCACAATAGCTTTTTGGATGGTGATGATCTGAGGAAGTGTACTTCTCAAGGTCTCGCCAATCATGAGACAAGATGTGAAACAAGTCAAGACATCACCTGAGCTCACGTTCCCCCTTCCTATCTGATCTGAACCGAACCAAAATCCTTGGACAAACATGCACAGGATGATAAACCTCACTATTCCCATATTAATGCTCGATACAAGAGACAATTTGGTGTATGCGTCTTTACAATCGGTCACTTTTCGAGAAAACTTTTCATACTCTATATCCCTTGCTGAGAAGAGTCTCACGATCTTTGCTGAAATCAAAGACCAATCAAGAACCTTGGCAGCTTCTATAGAGTGATCGTTTTCCTTGTTTGTATATTTTTCCATCAGTCTTGAGAATACAACAACAGAGGCGATGATCAACGGCGAAGAGCATATCATAATCAGTGTCACCGACCAAGAGTAGTAGAAAGAGGTACCCAGCAATGCAGCAGTTGCAACAGTGTTTTGAGCTACTAGTGCAGTGGCCTCTGCTGTACCTGCTCTGAGCTCTTCGACACATCTATTGATCTGTGTCAGATCGCCCATCACCTTTTCGTTCTCTTCGTACCAAGAAATCGGTTTCTTCAGGAAGGTATTCAGCATGTGTAATCTTGCCCTAATTCCATGCCTCTCACCAATGTGCATCCAACAGGTTACAGTTGCCCACACAATCAAGACCGAGCCTGCTCCTAAAGCTATCAAAGCCATTGTAGAGAGCCTAATCTCTTGCATGTAGTCACCCACAGATTCAAATTCACCATTCACCAAGCTCGACAGCACGTTAAACACCCTACCCATCAGAATTGCAGATATAGCTGGTCCCAATGAGCCAGCAATCGTTGCAACTCCCCCAAAGATCATCAGCGGGATGTCTGAGCGATCAGCAAACATGAACAGGGTAGAGCGCCTCAGCGTGGCGGGCTCCACCGGCTCATTATTGTCGGTGGTGTCTATGTCCAAGTCATAGAGCATAACTTCAAAGTTTGACCCTGCACTCACCATCACTGGTGAGGCCTCTACAAATTCCTTCGACATCCGCTTCACTGGTCAACAAGCAACCGCTGTGTGTCAAAGTGAAGGAAGAAACAAACAATACGGCCCAACAACAGTGGAGCAAAGAGACATAAAACCCACCATAAGCGGTCACAGGCCCACTATATATGAGCCCTGCATCACACCATCGGAATCATCATGGCTCCTCACACGCTCACACAGCATCTCGACGCCTCAAATGGGACGAGTGAGGCATCCTGTCGCCGTTTCAGGTGTCTTCAACAGTTTGAATGTTTATACCTAAAGCGATGTAAACAATGCGATGTAAACAAATGCGGCTCCTGTGATGTCTGGGTTAATGGGTGTCTGGATGTTAACTTGTTTGTTTTTCGCACATCTTCGGAGATAAAAACTCTAAGACCGTTCTGCGTGGGTTATCTCCGTGGGCTTTCACATGCGAACAAAACCCCTCGCTGGAGGAGCAAAAAACATAGCGAGAGATGGCCGTGCATGTGAACGACCTCTCGATAATTTAATGCCCCTTGTTGAAGTTCTTTTCCTCTTCCACCGTTCATCTCAGGCCCCAATTGAAAAGAGAAGATGTCTTCCAAAATCGACCAGGCACTCGACGTGTTCAACCAGCTTTGCACAGAGGTTGATATTACCAGCAAAAGCTTCCAAAGTGAGTGGCAGTTATCGTTTCATTATGTACTCGGCCTTGACACATCCACGGATGAGAGGTGCGATTGATCTCCCCGGCAGACAGTTACTAACGATGTTTGTTTCAAAGTTGCTCTTGCTTCTATCTGCTTCAATCCGGTCTTCTGGAATGTTGTTGCAAGACTAGGTGAGTGGTTAGATCATAACTCAATTTGTGTGTGTGGAGTACTAACTGGAGGAAGAGTATAATACCCATTTTCTTACAAAGCTCTCTGGGGGTCCGAAAAACGGTTGTTACTTGCTTGCCTTTACAATCTTTTCCCTTGGTATCTTTAGAGACTACCTGTACGAACGGGCTTTGAAAGAGCAAGTCACGTCTGACCTGCTCACTGGTCCAATCTTCACCTACGCAGGATACTTCTTCTTTGCACTAGGTAACATCTTTGTCCTCAGCTCAATGTGGGCATTGGGTGTCACTGGAACATATCTAGGTGACTACTTTGGAATCTTAATGGACCACAGAGTCACTGGGTTCCCATTCAACGTCTTGGACAACCCGATGTACGTTGGCTCCACCTTGTGCTTCTTAGGAACCGCACTCTATTTCGGTAAGCCAGCTGGGTTGTTTGCCACGTTGTTTGTGCACTTATTGTACTCCGTTGCTCTCAAGTTTGAAGAGTATGTATTGTTTACTTTCCGGTTCTCTCTCTTTTCATGTTTACTAACACCAACAAGACCATTCACCGCTGAAATCTACGCAAAGAAGGCTCGTGAAGAAAAGAAGAAGGCCACCTGATGGATCTGCCAATCAGTTGAATGGCAAACTCGGCAATCAAGGAGCGGTATTCAAGTCAGTGGTCGCCATTGACCAGTGAAGAAGCAGCTTGCTCTGTATATATAGCTATGAATCGCCGAATAACTCATGTTCTTCCTTCCAGAAATTCATTATAGATGAGGCACTAGTGATATAAACACTTTGAATATTGAGCTAATATACTACATAGGAAATTGATTGAATAGAGCTGTATATCATACCTTTACCGTGTACTTTGTATATGTAATCGGCTAGCATTGGGAACATCTAGGCAGGCACTTTCGTCTCTCTATGACATCTCAACTGGACCTGCTAAAAGGGCATCTAACACACTAATGAAGATGACAAGCATAAGTGTCATATTATAAGGAATTACATAGAGCAGATTAAACAACGTTTCCAGTAGTGAAAGGCCGTAGTACGCCCAACAATAAATCTGAGACATCTTGATTCTTCCCAGAACTTCAAAGAGGTGCGAACTTCGTGTCTGACCAGCGTGTCGATCGGCTACGGTCAATCGCCAGAGTAACTCTCCATCAAACTTGTATCTCAATAACAAGAACCATCCCAACAAACCCGACGAAGGCCTCACCACAAACGTGATAGTGTACACTAAGCAACAGCTGGGCTATTAGATGCATAGTGATTATGTGTGGCATAACCTTAAGCTGTGTAAGTCAAAACTCTCTGCACGAGTCAAACCAATTGCATGCAACACAAAGGCTTGTTTAGTATGGAACAATAGAAGATATACATGATGAAGTGCATGATGACACGCATGAAGTAAACTAAAAATTGACAATCTTCCAGTACACAAAGAGATGGATTGTATGGTGAACAGCTATATTCTCAGTACAATTTAACTCTAACTCGTGCATTCTGCCTTCATGCAGTGAGTTGCATATTTCACAAAACCCCAGTAACCATCAAGATAACACACTTAAATGTAAAGTGCACAAAAGCACTGTCTTGAATTATTTAACAAGCTCTGAATCCTCAAAAATTGTTCTTCAACTCTTTCCACTCTTTCCACTCTTTCCCGCAAATCCCCAAAGATGGTAACAAAGGCTGATCGCCGTGATGGAGTCTGTCCACCTCCTTCAAGGTTATCACCTTGACACATCTTAGGGTATACTGCCTAGTACACCATCACTACTGGGAATACGTGAAGACTATTGAGCAACAGCAGAACAAAGTGAGTTTGGTCAACCTGCTTTGTATGGTCACTGTGTTGGCTGATTAGCATTTACCAGATCACTGACTTACAACAGGATATATAAGGCACAAGGTCGACAGATGGTGAGGGCTCTCCTAGCTGAACGATATTGATAGGGGTTTGGTACTTTTGGGATGTTATCGTCTTGACGGTTCTCACAAGGTGCGATGCTGAAGAAGTACAGTTGCGCTACTCTCAAGTTTTGGGTTCATGATCCGACGTTATCATTGGATGTTCAGTTGACCATACGAGGTATGTCCAGGATGAAGGTTGTCTGAGGGAACTCTGTCCAGCTTTCGTTAGATGAGCTCAGTCTGAATTCAAGTGTGGTTGTCATGATTGTTGTTGGTGATGGAAGATGAAGTCTTGGGTAGTTACTTCGAGTCCATTAGAAGCTGTCGACTGCGAGATTGACACTCACACGAGATCTGTCCAGGATGACGGTTGTCTGAGGAAAGTCTGTCCAGCTTTC